TGCCGATCTGGATCGTTCCCCCTTGAAATGACCCCTGCGCACACTTAACCACTACACCAAACTGGCTCTACACTAACAATTGGAAGTGTTGAAATAGTTTCACCCTTCTTCCTTTTATAGAGTCTCACCAAAAAAGTACACTCAACATGTAGAATTAATGTACAGTTCTGGTACAAGTCGTGTTATACAATTTGTGTAACTAGCAACGATACTTAACACTAAACACAGTGAACTAGAGCCCAACTGCAAGGATTTCTGTAGAAAAATGACATTTCTACACTCGTGTACTAAATATTAAAATCCTCTGCTACTGAAATGGCTACATACAAATTTAAAAAGCCCATTAAGTGTGCTTATAATGCAAAGGATGGACAAAACTCACAAAAACAATTCCACCCACATACAATGGACTTCTCCAGGGAGACAGAGTGCTGCCAGAGCATTTTATTTAAATCTACTTTATTACAGAATGATAAGCAGATCTTTCTTATCCAAAAGAGAAATAATTTCACTACTGCTCAAATGAAAGTTCTCATGGCTACACTGGGTAGTATGTTACTGTTATTCAACAGCCTCGTGTTTAATAAAACATGGAGATGTGAACAAGGAAGCTAGAGCAGTGCAGAAGTTGCATTACAGCTGAACATACAAATGAATCTTTTGTCTAGGTTTTGTATATTAACTTTGTTTACCTCTTCTATAGTGCTGTCTCCTATTTTGCCTCCACTTCTTCCATGAGCTTTAAGTACCTCTCTCAATCCAATACCTGCACCATGTCTGATCTAAAAAGTTGGAAGAGCAAAACAGATTAAGATCTTAGAGAGTTAAGAATAGAAGGTTACATGAAGTAAGACTTACAGATAACATGGAGGCAATTGGAAATAACACACATTCCTGTTTAAATGAAAAGCCATGCAAAGCAAACCACCTAGAATTAATTTTGACTGCACTTTGAGAAAACCACTATCCTTTGTATTTCTGCTAAGTGTGTAATTAAGTAGAAAAGCCAGTAGGAGTGACCTATAAAAACTACTAGAATAGTAGCTATGCTTAAGTGTTCTAATAATTACACATCAGTAATGTGATGTGCCCAGATGAAGCTACCTGAGAAATTCTAAAATAAAGAATATACAGAAAATAGGAACCAAAATACTTAGAGCTTTCAGCAAATACTTCAAACATCTTCGTACTTAAAGCAAATACTCCTTTGGGCAACTACTGTATCATCCAAACATACCCTATCAATGTTTACTTTGCAATTTTGAGGAGATGGAAGTTCTAGTTTGAAAGACAGACAATCCACTTCAATATCAAGACATATTGAGACCGACTTCCGGTTTTGGCTCCCGCATTCTCCTGGAGCTCCAGGAGACGCATGCTTTGAATCGGCGGATGGGAGGGGGTGCGATGGTACACATCCCCCCCCCTGGAGCCCTTGTGATGGGCTCCTAGCCATGGGGTGCTTGGAGGGCCCTTCCTCCGGCAACCGGCCAGCAAAGGGGGGCCGATCCCTGCCCGACAGTCCTGCTGCTGATTTCCAGAAATGGACATGGGGATGCACACCGGGACAAGCGCTTGGTGGCTGGGCGAGTTGATCGCGAAAGGCGAGTTCTATGCTGAAAACTGAGTGACTGTATAAGCAAAGACACCAGAAAGGAAGCTGAAAGCCCCCCTTAACAAATCGAGGGGGGGGGAACTCCCCCTCGAAAAGAAAAAAGCTGAACTGATAAACGTAGTAAGGGGGGGGGGGGCAAATTGCAAAACTGAATTGACTATAATAAGGAACTTTTGAGAACTTACCAAGAGTTTTTAAAGAATCTTGAGACTTTGATAACTTTTTTAAAGAAAGTAAACAACTCTCAAACATGGTGCCTACGAGGAGGGAGGAGAAGGATAAACAACAGAAACTGAAGTTCCCTGCAGGAAATGCCAGTCCAGCGAGTTCTGTTCCTAGACAGGACACTATCACAGACTTCCAAAATATGCTGACTGAGGCTTTGCACCCTCTGCTGGAACAAATGACATCGCTCCATAATAAGTTCGATGCACAACAAAGCCAGTTAAATGAGACTACTAAAAAGACAGAGAAAATGGAGCAAGAGCGTATAGAAGTGGATGCCAAAACCCTGAAGCTTAAAAAACAAATGCAGGTGATGGGGAAAAAGAGAGCAACTGACGAGCTCAACTTTTACAGCTGCAAATGGAAAAGGCAAGCTATGTCTTAAGATTCCAGGGGGTCCCTGAAGCAAAAAGAGAAGACTTGAAGCAGATTATGTGCGATGCATTCGGTCCGGTTGGAGATTTAAAAGCGGATTTTCTACAAAACGAAATAGATATGATCTATCGATCGTACTCTGACTACATAAAAAAGAATAATCTGCCCGGCGAGATTCTCCAGGAGACAAGAGACCAAGTATTGAAAGCAACAAATGGAGCCACCATGAAAATCAAAGACAAAGAAATAAGAGTTTTGAAGGATATTCTATTTGAAGTAAGGAAGAAGAGAAAGAAATACAGAGACTTGGCGCTGTTTTTACAGAAAAACAATGTCCCCTACAGATTGAGTGTTCCTGAAGGCATGCTCTTCAAATTTAAAGGCAAGAAAGAAAAAATTGACTCTGCTGTAAAGGCAAGCAAATTTCTACATCAACATGCCAGTCCAGCAGGTGAAGAGGATAAAGATGAAGATGGCAGCAGCAAGGGAAGTGAAGAAGGAGGAGTACTGGCACCTTCTGATGAGGACTCAGTTTCTGAACTGGGGGCAGCTGCCCCTAAACTGAGCTATCGATTGAGAAACAAAAAGGACAAAAAATGAGTTGTGATTGTTCTCGATTCTGTTTTAAATGAATTTAAATCATTTCTCTATAGAGATCTTTAGATAGTCAGATTTGTTGGAGATTCTAGTACAAGCAATAAGAATTGTGGACTCACTAAACATAGCAAAGTATAAGCTTTTATTTAATTAGAAGCTAATTTTGTAAGCATTGTGAATTACCACCATCTCTTGGGTTTTTAGTGGGTTTTCTTTACTTTCACCTGTAGTTTGTAGTTACCGTTACTTATTTCTTTGTAGTTTATAGAAAATGCAATTTAAAAAATCCCCTATGGGGGGACAAAAAAAAGATATACTGAGACCAATTAAAACCTGCGACATACCTTTTAGGACTGTCAGAACACATTTCTATTTTGATTTTTTTTTTTTACTGTCAAGTCACAGCTGACTTCGCGTGACACTATATGGTTTTCAAGGCAAGAGACTTTCAGAGGTGGTTTGCCATTTCTGACTCCATGTCATGACCTCAGTATTCCTTGGTGGTCGACCCCGCTTAGCTTCTGAGATCTAACTAGGCTGGACTATCCAGGTCATATATTTTGATATACAATTCTTTTAAACCTTTACCTAAATAATTTTCTCACATCCTGATTACAAATTCTGTGTGGGCACATTTGCCGGCCCAATTCAATTCAGACCAACCAACAGTTCATAATCAGAAATGTGCAGTGCCCCCCCCCAACAGAAACCATGGTTAGAAGTAGAGTTTAGGTTTGGAGATAAGTTACAAATAGCACACAATTCAACCATTATTGCAAACTATGACGCAGGAAGCAGAGGAGGAAGAAATCAGTATACAAAAGTGGAGGGAGAAGCCCTTAACACATCTGCAATGGGAAAACCATGAGTGAGTCTTGATATCAAAATTAAGCCTACACTGTCAATATCCCCATTGGGTGTGTAATGTGTGTGTGCACTGAGGAATGCATAATGTCTGACATGGTTTTGACTATCAAACACAGATTGTTAAAAAATTGGCACAGAATAATACAATAAAGCTGCTTTGTTATGGCCAACACAAATTTACTTACTAACTGAGCAGGAACGAGCTAATCTAGAAAAATTATTTTACACCCAATAATATAAATAAGAACAGAGGGTTGGATCCAAACAGCTTTTCTGCTGGCCAATGACATGCTGAAAATCAAAAGACCAGCATGTTAAAAGCCACGTGGGACAGGGGCCTGTAGTGTGGAGATAACTGAGAGAGACAGAGTAAAAAAGGCTGGCTGGATTCAACCCAGGGTATATTGATGGCTTACTCCTTCGAGAAATAACAAAGATGGTATAAGGTAAAAAAAAGTTTACCTCCCATGATGGGTTAAAGAGGTCATTGCATACTTCTTCACAAAAACTTTCCAAAGGCCATTCATTAGTCTAACAGAGACAAAAGCAACAAAGTCAACTCACTAACTGGTTCTAAAACTCACATCCCAAAAGTGCCCAATTACTTAACTTGACGGGGTATATGTACTTCATCTAGATTCAATTATGGAATACCAAGATGATTTTTTACATCAGAGAAAATACTGATACAGAACAAGTGACATAATCAGTCATTTTATATGACCATGATTCTTTACATCAGAGAAAATACTGATACAGAACAAGTGACATAATCAGTCATTTTATATGACCATTCCTCTGACAAAATTAGAAACTGAACTAAAAGTAACTGAAAACCAAACAGGATGAAAAAAGGAACCTTATGCATTTATATATGTAACAGTGATGTGTGGCCCCATCTACGGATACCTAAACCTGCAGATCAGAGCCCCACTGACGCTAAACTTTTTCTTCTGCAAAATTTGGGGACCCGCTAGGTTTGCAGAAAAATCTGAAATCTTTTAAATAATATACTGAGGGGGGTGATATACCACTGTACCTCCTCCTCCATGGTAGTGATGCTGGCCAGGATCTAATGCAGGCCTGGCAATAGCGGCAGCAAGCTATGCCAGACTGGCAGCAGTGGCACTGATGGAGGGGAAGAGGAAGCTGAGCCCAAAGGTGAGAGAAGCAATGCCAATGGGGGGGGGGAGCCTCAGAAGGCAGCAGCAGCAGTGATGGGTGGAAGAAGCCACAGAGTTCTAGGCAATGGGAGGGGTAGCTTGGTGGCCCTGGGGATGAGAGCAGGTCTGGAGATGCTCAGGGCCTGGGGAGGGTTCCAGTAATGGGTGGAAGGGAGTCATGGCAGCCCCAGCACTGGCGGGGTAATTAATACAGGAAGAGGGATTCCCCCCGTGAGTACTGTGGGTCCCCACTTGTTTAACCCTGTTACACATATGCAGGTTCCAAGTTCCAAGTGCAACACAAAAGACTCTTCATTGACAAAGACTACCCAGCAGCTAGTGCCCCTGGTAGATTATAACTTTAGGCGATGCTTCTGACACATCTGCTTGAATTCTCGCTACCCCAAAAAAACTCTACTTTGTGGACATTTACTTTTAAAAAGTACCTTAATTTACAATTCCAATCAGTTTAGGGCTATTGTTTTTCAGACATTATTAGCAACACCGAGTAATTCAGAATACAGACTACATTACAGTCATCAGGACATGGTTCAGCTAATGTTATATATTTTATATATTTTAAATACCATTGATTTCAACAGGTTAACACAGCTGTTCAATTTTCCCCACTGAATGTACTGGAACTTAAATTAACTAACTCTGGCCAAATCAGGCAGTAAATTATTTTTCAAAGGGTGCACTGTACCTCTTCTGGCACATTATCTACCAAAAGTTTGGAATCAGTTGTAGGCTGACTGATGATAACATTTGCCACTTTTCTTCTCTTCTCCTCTGGTTCCCCATCAGTGCTATCGTTGCTATAAAGAAACACTAAAATGTTTTTATGTTAGCAAATTTCATGCCATTTAACAATGGCTTGCCATGTAATAAACCATTCTCATTTACATCCATACAGGAACAACATCAAAAAATTAGCCGTTTCAAACGGAAACATGTTCAGACTATATATCTCGTGAAATTATATATACATATTCAGACTATATATCTTCT